TGATGATGATGATGATGATAATGATGATGATGATGATGATAATGTTTATGTTATTCTATTTATTGTGAAACAGAGGTACAGTAAGCCATTATTATTAATGCCAAAGATCGTCAATATTATTATTAATCCAGGTATTAAACACACACTTTTTAATAAGAACACATTTTATAAGAACACTAAGGCTGTAATAAATAATAATAATAATAATAATAATAATAATAATAAACTCTGTAAAAAGTCAATCAATTCATTTATTAAAATAATCTTAGTATATTTTTGTATTTAAAAAATGGTCTTAATATGCAATACAAATTAATAATTAATTGTTTAAACAATATTATGCTTTTTTTTATACATATTTTTATAACCTTTTCCATTTTGTGCAATATTTTTGTTTACTTTTTAATGTTGTTAGGGCAGCTGGCTCTTGAGTTATAGTAATTTATTTGCTTTAGCTGTCCCTGTTGTTGTTGTTGTTGTTGTAGGGCCTATCTTGTATATATTGTGCTGTTTTAATGTTTATATGGTGGGATATATAAATTATATAAAATTAGAATTGAGGCTGAGGTAAAATGTTAGGTTTTTATCTGTAGCTGTAGCTATGTAACGGTACCGGTACTCTCTGTCTGTTTGTCTGTCGTGGGTGTGTGTGTGTGTGGGGGGGTGTGTGTGTGTGGGGGGGGGGGGGGTTGCATGCGTACCGAGGTCGGCCTCGTTTGGATAGACATGGCGCAACAGGGCGAGGATTCGATCTCAGATTTTGTCTATCTTGAAAATACAAAATAAGAACAAAATTAGAATAACGTTTTGAATCTGAAATTTGCAACAAAAAGAAAAAAAAAGTAAAAAAAAAAAAGGTGGTTCTTATTTTTTTTTTTTTTAAGTGTAGTTGTATTTTATTAATCTTTTTCTTTACATTGTTTAAGTTAACTATTAGATTGTATTTCCATGTGTTTTTTAAGTATTTTTTTCACTTCACATAAGGGGAAACAATGTTTTACACTGATTAAGTACCCAGAATGAAGTTTTCAATCTAGGCCTATCTATCTATCATTTCATAACATTTGGCACATTCAAAACTAACTATGATGCCCTTAACATCCAGAATGGACCAATATTTTGGTACATTAGTATGTTACATTGTAATAGTTGTTTAGTTGTAACACGTTGGCTTCTAGAAAAGTACCGTATTCTTGAAGGACGTCCAGGTACCGCATAGGGAACGAAATGGCCTACCCAACATCGGTTCCGGGAACTTTGAACCAAAATAAGCTGTAGAAAGCGCTATATTGCATTCAATACTCTCAATTGATTCGATGAAATTTTCAAGAAGCAACCTGTTAACATAGACATAAGCTTATCGATTGCCCATGACTTTTACGGTACGGTAGGGTTTGATTATTTGTTCTATTAATTTATTTCAAACGTTGCACTCGCAGTGAGTGCGGAATTATTTCTTTAAAAATTACAAATCTTAAAAAAAAACAAAAAAAAAACATTAAAATATGAAAATGCAATACAATTGAAATTAAAATGGGAAACAATTTTACATGACAAAATCATAAAACTTCCGGTACAACGTGTGTGAAAATATTGGGTTTAAGGTAAAACCACTGCTTGGTTGTCTCTAAAAAAAATTTTCAAACATTGCACTCGCAGTGAGTGCGGAATTATTTCTTAAAAAATTACAAATCTTCAATAAAAAAAAAACATTAAAATATGAAAATGCAATAGGCCTACGATTAAAATTATTCATCACTATTGGTTCTCAAATATTATGCGGTTCACATAGCCAGCGTTTTGTGATGAAGATCACCCTCCACCCTTAATAATATTTGGTAAAGGAGAGGCGAAAATCATTGTTTGCACTAGGCCTATTATATGTTCTATGTTCATTCAATAATGTCTCAAACGAAACTTTCTTACAATTGACAAGTCATTTCAATGAGTTTGCATAGGCTAAAGGGCGTGTTGAACTTCTTCATAAGAATGTCCATCTCGACATGGATTGACAGCTCGCAGTCAGTGTAAGACAAACATGAGAATAAACAAGGTGAACACTGAAAAAGCTAGTAGTTCTAACTTAAGCACTTTTCAACTCGGATTATGGCTGGTCTTGCGCGTGCAAGTGAATGACAGGCGTACAGATGGGCTGTTTACTGACGTTTGTTGTCAGCTGGCACCCTTATTACAATAGAAACGGACAACAGATCCCTTTTTGTATGTGTACTAAATACCGGTACAAACATGTTATTTTCAATGCCTCTCTCGATCATTCTTTAATCGACGAGAAACCTATAACTGAAATGACAGTAATACCTTGAAAAGTTCACTTATGTTTTCCTGCAAGGATGCTCTTTTTTACGAATTCGCTAGTAAAAATGCAAATGCTTATCTATAAAAATGCGACTTTCGAATGAGGCGGTTACAGTGAATGAAAACAATATTATTTTAGGGAAGTATCCAAACCGTTCTATTCTACAGCGGACCTGGAGGTCAGTCGTGTAGAATTAAGTGGATTTACGGTAGACAGTGTGTTACGGGGTTTTCCAACACTGAAGTACCAAGCGATAATCCGGAGTAATCTTTAACCACAATGGGTTTGTAACGATCTACAAGGAGAGGACAGCTTATTGGCAGTTCGTACCTTCTAATGATTTGTAGTGAATACGGTTCCTAATCTGTTTTCATAACCGAACTTAAGTTCGGCCTGATTGACGTTTTTAACAACACCGGCTTCCTACAGCGCATGAGGTGACAGGGGAAAGCGGATGTGAGCAAACATCTACAAACCGCAATTTCTAAATCTAGGGTAGCATACCGGTACTCAATCACTAATATGAAGGGGTGTGTAGTAGCAGGAAGGTATCAGCGGATAAAGGAGAGCGATATTAGTCTAAATTAAACAGAGAATGATCACACTCATACAGATTCAGTAAGTTGAAGCGCGGAACAAAATCACCTCTTCGCTTCTTAACTTATAAAATTATATACTTATAGACATAATTGCCAAGTCAGGACACCCCAGCCTAACAGCACTCATCGAGTGAGAGTCGACGGTCCTTTGCCCGTCCCCAACATGACTTAAGGGATATAGAAACGAAAATATCCGAGAACATGCTTGACGTAATTTGGAATAGAGATAAACACTATATTGTACATGACTTACTCCCTTATTGTAAGAATGAGTTTCACTCTAAAAGAGTGCCTAGTTATTAGAGTGCCTAGTTATCACTACATTTTCACTCTTTCTCGAGTGAGAATTCTCTATTAAATGAGTGAATATTATTCTTTCACTCTATACACCAAGTGAACTGGTGGCACTGTTTACGTGCTCAGACTCAAAAGAGTGAAATTCAGAATTCAATTGACTAGTTTATATAAGACGAGGTGGAAGGATGTTTCGACTAATTTATTTATGCTATTCCGATGATGTTTTTGCGTCAGGTAGGGCAAACATCGATTCGTATTTCTGACTCAACAACGTCAGCGGAATAGAAATGGAGGAGCATTGCAATACCCACTACCAGGGAATCGGATTCATTACTAGCCACCAAGCGCAAGCTCGGTGGTCGAAGGGTTAACGCACCAGGCTAGGTATCTGGAGGTCGTGGGGTTTTTTTCTCAAACATTTGGGAACGCACTGGGCATTCAGTACTTATAGCGCCGTTAGATAGGGCAAACATCGTAGTTATTTATGACTCAGAGATTATGAAATCTGTCAATTACAGGTCCGGAATCGATAAATCGTCCCAGTATATGAACATCATCTCTTCATCATCTGTTATTGTGCATAACCTCGGTTGAGTAACCCTGTCATATAAAATACATATATATAGGCCTAGGCCTATCATGCAAAACATGCTCCTTGCTTGATTCTACACAATCATTCAAGAGCAACCAAACAAACCACATATTTCGGATAAGGCAATCAATTAATTGCCTCACCAAATATGAGCGCTGTGACAAAATAAGAACAAATTGAGGCTGAGGTAAAATGTCAAATGAGATTTTTATTTATTTTACTAATAGAAACCCTAAAAAATCTTATCTGTACCTTCTGTAATACAGTACAGTAATATACTACTGTCAAATAATATGTCTCTATTTTTGAAAAGTGTGTAAAAATAGGAACTAAATATGAAACATTTTGAGCCTGAAATAAGAACACTGATCCTAGGCAAAATTTTACTGTTAAAAAAAAAAAAGAAGAAATATACATATAAAATATACATGAATAAATAAATAAACATACAATGTCAAATCATTAGATGTCGGGACAGCTCAGTTCTCTCCTGAGACCCTTCACGCGTGTTCGCATGACGACCGACAGGGCAGTATGCTGAGGGTCCAGTGGTCCACCAATAGTTAGTTTCTCGGCTCTGCCACCGTCCACTGGATGACAACTGATGTCGTCGATGGTGTTGGTAAGAACATCTTCAAATAGAAAATTAAAACCTTTTTATCTTTTTCACCGACTCTCCTTAAATTGGTCTCCCTTCGTCTAATGAGTTGTCGTTGCTTCGTCTTTGAATAATTTATCTTTCCTACGAAAATGTATCAAGTATTTATTTCACTTATAAACATAGTTATAAACATATAATATAATATTATATAATACGGTACAATATAATATAATATAATATAATATAGGCCTAATTTAATATGATATAATACGGTACAATATAATATAATATAATATAATATAATATAATATAATATATAATATAATATAATATAATATAATATAATATAATATAATATAATATAATATAATATAATATAATATAGGCCTAATTTAATAAGATATAATACGGTACAATTTAATAATTATAATATAATTGTAATATAATATAAGTGCCGAAAAACCAAGGAGACCGAGCATATGTTTGTGGTCCCGGATCTAACTTAACTAAATACAGGTAATATGCTAATCTTATCTACAAAACTACCTAAATAATCAATCAATCAATCAATCAATCAATCAATTAACTAATTAACCAACCAAATAATTAATCAATCAACCGCTCAATCAAATATTCATTCAATCAATTAACTAATATTTTAATTTTTAAACAAAATTGTATTTTGAGAAAAAAGGAATGATTTCTAGTAAGGTGGAAACTTTGACAAACCGACCAAACTTTCTTTTTTAGTCATCATTGAGTAAGTGTTTCTTATAGAAAGTCAGAACTCAAGACCCAAACCAACCATTGAATTCAGGCCTGATACGAGTTTTTGGCTAGGCTAAAAGGAGAACTTTACAAACTTCGGCGTATAAATTTGGTCAGCGCGGCCAAAATATTAAATAGATAAAAGAAGGGGATTTCAAGAGTTAAACTTTGAGATCATTTAATCCAAATTCCAGAAGCCCTCTAAAGTTAAAAAATATGGTTGATTTACAAGTTGGTAGGCCTATACAGTAGTTCTCTCGTCGTTACTCTGCATTTTATTTAGGTATATAGGGCAAAATAATGTGTATCAAAGGTGAAACGAATTTCTCAATTTAGCCTATTTTGAGATATAAATTGTGTTTTGTTTTGAAAAGTCACACGAGCCTTGAGCGATACGATTGGGTTAAACCGACAATTTATAATAAACATTGACTGAAATGAGGATACTGTACATATAGATGCTTTGTCAATTCAGGGTAATTGAATTTGATTATCCACCCTAAGTAATACATTACCCATGATAAAAGTGTTACTCACATCATCAAACGCGTCATATTCTGTGTAATACGTCATACGGTTTTGTCGAAACATGCGATATGTCACTATCGTTGATATACATTGTACATGTTAGCCTTTAGATAACCATTACCCCCGAAAAAAACTTAATTCCCAAAACTCCTCAGATGTTGTAAGCACGTCACATGGTTTAGTCGAACATTCGCTTTCATTTACTAGGCCTGAACAGTGGATTAATAGTTTTTTCGGAGATGGTTATTCTCTCAAACCCGCCTAAATCTGAGACTCGCATAACCAATTATGATTCTGAATCGCGTAAATACAAACTTTATGTTGTTCTTCACCTGTAATTAATCAAAGTTGGCCAAATTGAAACTTCTCATCTGAAATCTGAAAAAAAACTTCAAATATAACGATTGCTTTTTTTTTTTTTTTTTTTTTTTTTTTTTTTTTTTAATATAAAAGGATCAAATAAGTTGTAAACTTAGTGAGACACAGTGAGTTAATTTTCTTTGAGTTTATATTTTCAAATAGGCCTAATTGCTTTAGTACTGCCGACATATGTAGGCCCTATGCAACCAAATGTAGGAGCGGTATTTGATCAGGTTTGAAGATTTATGAGAAAAATATCGTCATTGTGGTTTCAGATAAGCGGCAGCAGCGACTGATATAGGCTAGTTTACATTGTTTATGCTTATATAGACCATATGTTAATTAACGATGAAGATAACTAATTTGTCTCATTATCAATTAAAAGTTAGCAACTTATATAAATATAAGCTACAATGTAAGCAATATTGAATTTTATTTTATTTATCTATCTATCTATTATTATTATTATTATTATTATTATTATTATTATTATTATTATTTCCACCCTTTTTTTGGGGGGGGGGGCTAAATATAAGTCTCTTATAGGTATAATATTAAAGATAAATATTGATTAGCGCCCTCAACTGAACTAAAGTCTACATTAATAACGAACGTAATCGTTATCATTCGTATATATGACGCTTAGCAGGAATATATCAATGACCTTGCAAACCAATAAATGTAAATGTCACCGAATCATGAATTGATGTGGCTGATACTCAGTGACAAGCACTCGAGTGGGAGTTGTTTTATAAATAGCATAATAACCCAAAGATAGTTTTGTAAAGATGTCAATAATGACAGTGTAATCTTTTGTGGGCGCGTGTTGTGCTTAAAGTGTTGACAAAGTATCCAGATAACAGTGTACCGTCGTTGCAAGATCCTCAACATATAGCACATGTGACAATCATATTATAGGCGGAGTTTATTCTTATTTTTTTACACTATTGTTTCGTACCGCAGGTATATAATGCCCAAGCAAAGATAGGCCTACCTTCATAGACCATTGTTATACTGTACTTGTTTCTGATTGGTCAATGGTTGCTGAATTCGATCAGCTGTAAGGCATTAAATGCGGTACCTATATTTTCTAGGCGATCTTTCCTTTCTGGCCTTGTCTGTGGCTGTGAACGCAAGCTGGTTTATACTATTCCATAGGGCCGAAGAGTAGTAACTCAGTAGATATGAGGTCTTTCCTGCTGTTACCATTCACAGTGCTGTGTATTTTCTCAGCTGTTGATAGTGCAGTTGTAAAAAAGAAAGAGCATTCGGCCGAGGCTTTGCAAACTCCACAGACAAGGAAATTCAAGAACGGCAAAGATACCAGTGCCCGGCCGCCGGTTGCAGAAAGCACATTTGTCGAAACGACCGTGTTTCATGAAGGGACGTCCAAACGTAAACATGGGAAACATCATAAACACAACGACGAAAATAGATCTAATTTACCTTCTAATCGAGACGAGGACCCACACATTTCGCAGGGAGAAGATTCTGACCAACAGGGCGAGCTCGGAGAAATATTACAAGAAGAACAATCATCTATAATAGAACACAATAATAACATGGCTAGTTTAGATGAAAGCGATCCTCAGATGGCGCGAAAACTTAGGATCGAGATGATTAAGCAGCAAATACTGGATAAGCTGCGACTAGATGCACCACCAAACATCACACGGGGGAGAGTACGTTTACCGGAGCCCCTTGCGTTCTCAGAACGTTCCCTGGGCATGCAGAGTGACCAGCCTCCGGAAGTGCAGGAGGATGATTATTATGGCAAATTAACTGAAGCTATCATATTTGCAGAGGAAGGTAAGTCCAGTTGTCAATCAAACGATATAAGGATATCAGTAGCAAAGTTGAAAGGGTTTTTTTTTTTTTAATAACTCATTGGGCATTGAACCTGTATTATACAAACATACCTCAGATGATAAAATAGTGACTACACTCACATCAACCACTTCAGAATCGATTCAAGTTCATACACCGTACATGATCCCGATACTGATAATAGGCATCATGCCATACCTGTCATGATACCACATTTACCGATTTTTTTTATAGATATAAGCTGATCGTATTACTGCCCTGGTAATTCGCTGTATTCGCAAGAATTATTATTGTTGAGCCAAGGTCAGCACCCCGCACCCAAAGCTACCTGTATGTTTTCGTTGTTTCATAAATGTCTAATTAAGTACGCTCCAATGCCCTTTTTAGAAAGAAGTTTAAGTTTTCCTTTTTTTTTTGTATAACACTGTTATATTAATTTAGGAATAAGCCCGAGTAGGAATATATTACAATTCGTTCTAAATCAGGAATGAAGCACAGTCGAATGTAAATCGCCATGGGAAGGGGTTTGGGTGGGGTAATTATGCTGATGAATAAGCCTAAAATTTCCATTCGTGGGAGAAGGCCGAATCTGACGCCAGTTTCAGGTCGTCGGCTTGAAAATATTAATTTGCTGGTCTTTTGAATTAAACAGGTCGTTATATTGTGGTTTTATAATTAAAGCATAATTACCACCTCAGTAACCTTTCCCCATTAAAACCCCACCAGAATTTTCCTCCGGGGCACCACGGATACCATAGGGTAGCCTTATGGTACACATACCGTACGTGTTATAGCTTCTTTTCGGCATTTTTTAGCAACCAGTCGAACAAGCTTTTCTCGGAGTTTGATTTTATTTACTAGGGCTTATATTATATATTTATTTATTCATTGGCCTATTAAAAAACCCAGGCTATACAAACCTACAAGACTACAGGTGTATTGCCGTAATAGATACACATGAGTAGGCCTATGTGTTGCTAAACAGAAAACTGAATCATTTAAATGTCTTTACCAAATTTTTTATATAATAAATCAGATATTATAGGGTTAGTTTATAACATTTATTATATATTATAATTATTACCAAGGAGGTATTATTAAATAAGACAAATGTATTTTACAACAGTGTTTGTATGGAGACGATTGTTCTTCTTGTATCCATATGACACTGTTCACCAACCCAATAAGAATGTACAGTAGGCCTAGTTTTGCCCATTGGATATCAGCAATTTCTGGGACTCACTGGAATGTACGCTAAACTATGCAATGCGAGTTCACAAGATTTACACCGAAGGTGCACGGAAACGGTCTCTCACCGCCCATAAATCAAGCCAAGTTGAGGGTTGTTGAAATGTAACAGCCGGCCTTTTGACACCTTCATCGCCATTATTATGCAACCTGTTTATTAATCATTTTGACCCCCTGACCACTTCAATTGATTCAATCTCGATCATTGTGTTAAGTCCTCTGTATTGGTCTACGCAGTCTCCTACGTTCCAGGTCCATATCCAAGGTGCAAGGAGGGTTACAATGAGTGCGTACCGGTACGCTCCCCCTCCAATGTAGATTAAAAAGGAATCCTAAATCTTTTACACATTTCATCCAGCAACATATCGGGAGGCCAGTGGGCCTATTTTGGTAAAGTTGAAATAATAATGAAAAATCGATTACAGTATGTGATTTAATCGGCTCCGAGGCCCGCATTTACATACCCCGAACTCCACCCCAGACTTTCCCCAATAGCAATCTTGCTATACGGCTTTGCGTTCTCCGAGTCAAAGTAACCCTTGTTATTGTTAATATATGTTAATGATCTCCCAAACTGCTTTTCTCTTTTAAACTTTGTTCTTTTCGCAGATAACACTAACATTTTTTATTCACACCAAAATAAAAATGATCTCCTTACAATTATTAACACTGAATTAACTAAGGTATCTAATTGGCTTAAATTAAATATGCTATTTCTTAATATTTCTTAAACTAATTCTATTGTTTTTGAAAATAAAATTAAAAGCAGAGATTCCTTTCTTATTAAAATTGATAACAACATAATTGAACAAGTAACAGAAACAAAATTCCTTGGCATTACATTAGATTTCAAATTATCTTGGCAATCCCATCGTAACAGTATTACAAATATTATATCAAGAAACATTGGTGTTATGAATAAATTAAAACATTACTTTCCGCAGAACATTCTTTTATCCTTGTATAATACTTTAATCTTACCTTATATCAGTTATTGTAACACATCATGAGCTGCTACGGTTGATAAATTTCTTCATCTATGTCCCTGGACAAGTCCTGAAACAACCCCTATTGACATTTTAAATTACAAAGGCGAGCTCTCAGGATTTGTGCAGGGACAACTCGTATTTCTCATACCAAACCTTTATTTTACAAATTTGATGTTCTAAATGTATTTGATTTGCATAAATTACAAAACTATGTTTTTGTGTATCGCTTTAGAAATGAAACATTACCCCCACATATTTATAATCTATTTCCAAAATAGAAAAATATACATCCTCTTCTAGAAAGAAAATCCATATTTTACACTAGTCCAAAAGTATGGAATTCCTTAAAAACTTCCTTTAAATCCTTACCTAATATCAACTCTTTTAAATACAACCTTAAAAAGTCTCTGGTCTCGGAGTATGGCCGGTAAGTCTCCTGGTCTGTCTGTCTGTCGGTCATTCTTATTT